GAAGATAGTTTCAGCAAATGAACCCAAACAGAGCAAGGAAGGAATGCTTATGTTCTGTGGCTTGACTTTTTAAAGTATCTCTATCCTTTATTTTATTTTTGTTGGCCGTGCTAGGTCTTCGTTGCTGTGCACTGGCTTTCTCTAGTTGCAGCAAGAGGGAGCTACTGTCTACTTGCGGCGCGAGGGCTTCTCATTGTGGTGGCTTCCTTTGGTGCAGAGCATGGGCTCCAGGGTGCGTGGGCCTCAGTAACTGTGGTCCTAGGCTTAGCTGCTCCATGGCATGTGGGATCTTCTTCCCAGACCAGGGATCGAACCCGTGTCCACAGCATTGGCAGACAGATTCTTAAACGCTGGACCACCAGGGAAGTCCTCTATACTTTCTCCTGGTTTATGGAAGTCATTTAAGCTTGCTGGGAAAGGAAGAGAGAGAGGAAGGGAGGTTGGAAGGGAGGTTGGAAGGAAGGAAGGAGATGGGTAGGTAGGTCGGCTGATGGGTTGGAAGGAAGGTCAGTTCTGTGTGATACACATTTAGCAACTAAGTCGGTGTACCTGCCAGCCTTGTCCCCAGCCCCGAACATAAACACAGACTGTGGGTGAGGTGGGAGGAGTGAGACCCCAACACAGTCACACAGGGCAAATCACTGTGAGATGAATACAGTGAACAAGTAGCACAGGTGAGTGTGATGTAGCTCACCTGGGTAGGAGGGAGCCACAAAAGATGGAGTGTCAGGGAGGGCCTCTCTGAGGAGGTGACATTTGAGTAAAGCTGGGTGGATGAGAAGCTGCCATTTGCAGGGACTGCTGGGAAGGATGCTCTGGGCAGACAGAACAGCCGATGCAAAGGCCCTGAGGCAGGAACTTTGCTGGCGTGTTTCAGGAACCTTGGGAAGCCTGTATGGGAGGAGATGAGGGCTGAGGTGGGGTGGAACAGATTGTTTTGGACCTGGTGGGCTGTGGCAAGGAATGTTTTTAGAAAGAGAATCCCTCCCACATATCTACCTTAGGAGCTGAGAGTTTGGTAAACTTGAATATACCACACTAAGCTATGTGTGGGGCTTCCCTGGTGGCTGAGACAGTAAAGATTCAACCTGCAATGCGGGAGACCTGGGTTCGATCCCTGGGTTGGGAAGATCCCCTGGAAGAGGGCACGGCAACCCCCTCTAGTATTCTTGCCTGGAGAACTCCATGGACAGAGGAGCCTGGCAGGCTACAGTCTGTGGGGTCTCAAAGAGTTGGACACAACTGAGTGACGAAGCACAGCACAGCATAAACTGTGTGTGAGTTTTGTTTCCTAAAAATGTTTTCACATCACACATACCCCCCTTCTTTTTTTTAATATTTATTTGGCTGCACCAGATCTTAGTTGTGGTACACAGGATCTTTAGTTGTGGCATGCAAACTCTTAGTTGCCACACGTGGGATCTAGTTCCCTGACCAGGAATTGAACCTGGGCCCCCTGCATTGGGAGTGTGGAGTCTTAGCCACTGGACCACCAGGAAAGTCCCCATAACCACTTGCTTATTCCCATGACATATCTGGGCAAACCTCTTCCCATGTCATGTGGACCAAGTTCTCTTGTCTTCAGCAGCCAGAGGGGGTTATTCTGGGGTACCACTGTCCCTCCCTGCGGGGCCTTGTCCTACCACTACTGGCCAGTGCTGTTTCCTCCTTAGTCAGGACTTCATGAAGTGTCCCCGAACACCTGGCACCTGGGAGGGGACACTCCCAGATGGAGAACTCCTAGGGTGGAGACAGTGCACGGTTTTACACTTTCAGGAGGTCATCTTACACCCTTCCCAGAGGGGAGCCTCGTGGACCGGGCCCCTTGGGATTCTGGGAAATGGCGAAATCAAAAGGGAAGCGGGAGGGGTGAGGCCCCTTCAAGCTCCCAGGGGAACAACGTGTACTCTGGGGCGGGGGGGGGGGGGGGTGTCTTTCTTGCTTGTGTCTGTTTCTCTCTTGGATAGAAACCTTTTCATTTGCCCAGAAAGCATACTTCCCTAATAATGATGGAGCCAGAATTACCCTAGCCCTGGAATTCTCATTTGAGAAGGAATACGACCTAACAAGAAAAAAAAAACTTAACCACCCTCTCTTCCTTCCTTTGTTGAAATCCCAAGGCTGGCAGCTGAGAAAATAAGAGAAAAAATAAAAAAACATAGACTTCAGTACCCTCAGGAGCCCAAGATATCTTATTTCTTCCTGAGTTCAAAGACTCTTCTTTTTTTCTTTCTTGAGTTACACAATGATGAAGTCTAGGTGTCAGCTCTTTTTAAACTATTTTTTATTATTATTTTTGTTACAATACATGATTATAGCAAAATAAATTCAAGCAGTTCAGAAGGGTGTTTGTATCAGATGAAAAGTGAAAGGCTCATTTTTCCACCTTCTAATATGACTCCTACTTCCCAGAAGTAATTATTGTTCATAATTTCTTCCAGGATTTTTTTTAATGTATAAAAGCATTTTTTAAAAGACTAATTTATTTGACTGTGTCGGGTCTTAGTTGTGGCACACGGGATCTTTGTTGGGGCATACGCACTTCTCTAGTTGGGGTGCCTGTGTTTTTCTTTAGGTACGGTTCCTGGCCTCCGTTACCCCGCAGCATATGGGAATCTTAGTTCCCTGACCAGTAATCAAACCCATGTCCCCTGAATTGGAAGGTGGATATTTAACCATGGGGCCACTGGGAAAGTCCCTATAAAAGCATATCATTAAACCCAAAGTGATTATGTTTCACATACTATACATCTTTCGTACACCAACTCTTTGATAGAAACGTGACAGCCAAGTGCTGTCGTGATGCCCGTGGGCTCGGCAGCCTGGTGGCCGAGACTGGAATCCTGACTCCTCTGCTCCCAGGCTGTGTGACTGTGGACAGTTACTTTAACCTCTCTGTATCTCAATTTCCCACCTGTAGAGCAGAGATGCCAATTAACAGTGGCTCCCAAGGAGGGCTGCTGTATAGATTTCACAGGTTAGCTCACATGGAGCCCTTGGACTGGTAGATAGCGCCTGGCTCTGTGCTTCTGTTAGCTGTCATTATTTGTTTCCCGGGGGGGGGGGGGGGTGTGTGGCAACACCTCAGATGAGGGATCCAGTGTTGGCTGGAAAAGTAGGACCTGATCCCAAAGGCTGGGCCAGACTCAGGAGGCAAGAGGAGACTGCAGGGGAAGTCCCAGGAGTGGAGCAGAGGAGTCCCCAGGAGCCAGCCCGGGCCAGGGAGCTGGGATGACAGCCTGTGGTGCCTGCAGAATGGGGAAGGAGCAGTAGGAGACGACTGTGTGCAGCTAGGGGTGCCCAGCACCCCTAGAGAAATGGTTAGAAGAGCAGCTCTCATTTCCCCAGCGTCCGCTCTGTGAGGTGCTGGCCAGGCAGTTAGCAGCAAATTCCAAAATGTAGTAAGGTCACTGTGTTTTCCCCATGTGCAAACCAAGGATCAGAGAGGTGGTGTGACTTGCCCAGGGTCCCAGAGCAGGAACAGGCAGAGTCTAGACTCAGACCCAAACCTGTCTGCCCACCAGGGCTCCTGCTGTTAACCCCAGACTGCGCCTCAGTGACTTTTAGATCATAGAGTCTTCTGGAAGGCAGCCCTGAGTCAGCTTTGGGAATGCTGAAGAAGAGTGTGATGATCAGAGTGACCCGGGTTCACAAACCAGCTTCTGGAACAAGAGTGGAAGTTGCTCAGTCGTGTCTGACTCTTTGTGACCCCGTGGACTTCTCCAGGCCAGAACTCTGGCGTGGGTAGCCAGTCCCCTCTCCAGGGGCTCTTCCCAACTCAGAGGTCAAATGCAGGTCTCCCGCATTGCAGGGGGATTCTTTATCAGCTGAGCCACCAGGGAAGCCCAGTGGGAATGGGAGACCCAGTAGAAAAGCAAGATAGTAGCAGTCAGAGGCTGCTCCAAGCCCTTGTGCCTCGTCTCTGGATCCTCCCAGCCACCCCCATGATGTGTGAGCCCACCCCACGTGATGGAAAGCAAAGTGAGGGAGATCTGGTGCCAGGCCCTGGAGCGCCCAGGCCAGAGGTCTGCAGTCTGTGGCCCATCCTGGCCCAAAGAGACCAGTCCCCCCAGGGGATTCTAACTCTGTAGGACCCCCTCCCTCTTCTGTGGCTGGAGTCCCTGGTCCGCACCACCCCTGTGTTCCACCTGAACAACTCTGGAGGTTCCTGTCTCCTTGTTTCCATGAGGGTGACGTCTCTGTCCGCATCTCTTCTAAAGCACAAATCAGGACCAGGCACTCACCAGATCAGACTCTCCAGATGCAATCCTGAGACCCCTCTGTGGCTCATAGGTTCCCAAACGCCTGCCCCAGCCCCTCCCAGGCCTCACCTCCTCCCCTCACCGTCTTGCCCCTGACGCCTCTGTAAGCTCACCAGGCTTGTTCACACGTCTCAGCCCAGCACTCGCTGTTCTCTCTACCTGGCCTCTTCTTCTACCAGCAGATTCCTGCCTTCTGCCCTTTCTGCTCAGACGTCATCCCCTTAGAAAAGCCTGCCCTGGGGCTTCCTGGTGGTCCAGCGGTTAAGACTCCATGCTCCAGTGCAGGGGGTGCACTGATCCCTGAGCAGGGAGCTGAGATCTCCATGCCATGTGGTGCTGCCAGAAGATGACAAGAAAAGCCAGCCTCCATCCCCAGCGACCCTTGTCCTTTTACCCAGCTTTATTTGTCTTCAGAATACCTCTCGCCACCTCGCATTATGGGGTCTCTTTCCCTGTTCATTTATTCATGGTCAGTCTCTCTGACGGGTCTGCTCCACATTCACTGCTCTATTCCCACTGCTGAGCACACACACGGCACAGAGGGGGTTCCCAAGCCACATCTGAGGGATGGGCAAGTGGCGAGGATAACCCGGGTCTCGCCTCTGTCCATCTTCACCGGGTGACGTGGGGAAGCCGCGGTCACTCGCCCAGTGGTGGTTGGCTCCCTAGGGTCAGGACGGCTTTGAGAAGTGACTTGAGCCTCCTGAGACCCTTCTGACTGTGACCTTCTCCTTCCAGGCAGGTGGACAGCAGCACAAAAAACGTCTTCGGGCAGCCCCGGTTGAGGGCCTCGCTCCGAGACCTCCGCTCCCCACGGAAGAACTACAAGTCCACCATCGAAGATGACCTGAAGAAGCTCATCATCATGGACAACCTGGCGCCTGAGCAGGAGAGAGAAACCGGCGTACGTGGAGGCTGCCCGTGCCATGCCCACACCCATGCTCGCATGCGTGCAATCAGACAGGCAGGGGGGCGGGGCCAGCTCGGGGCAGCTCCCTGCACTCACTCCAGCCTCTTCCCACCCGAGGCGCCCACCGGCCTGTTGGGGCGTGTGTGTGCCCCTGCAGCCAGGAGTCAGGACAGTGCGTTGGTCAGGGACAGGATCACAGTGTGAGCCAGCCTGGCAGGCCCACGGGGCCTTTATCCCCACTGGACCGCATGCAGCTGCCAATGGATGCTCATGGTGGCTCTCACATCCTTCTCCCCGAGAGTAGGGTGGAAGCAGCACCAGCCTGCCCGGACCACAGGACCAGGAGTGGAGGGAGTGCTCAGGGGGCACTTGGGCTCCTGTGACCCAGAGGTGGGGGGGAGGCCAAAACAGCAGGCGTTCTCTGTCCCTCTCTTCTCTGCCTCCCCTGGTGGGCCAGGCGCTTGGGCAGGTGCACTCTTGTTGGGACCTGGGTGGCCCCAGTCTCTTCAGGGTTTCCTCCCACCAGCTCTGGGGGGAGCCAGCACTCTGTCCCAGGTGGTCCCCACCAACACCTGGGTCTCCTGCTCTAGCTGAGGTCACCCCACTTTCCCTACCTCCCCTGGAGCTGGAGAATGGGATCAGCCCTCCAGACCCAGGTGGGCTGCAAAGAGGGGAGGAGGAATCCTCAGGGAGAAGTGCTGTACTTTGGGCAGAAATGGGTGCTGGGTGGGTCAGAACTGCAGAGGTGGGGAAGAAGCATCCGAGGGCAGTAACCGTGGGCCTGGCCCTGACCACACCCCTGTCCTGGCAGCAGTCGCCACAGAAGAGCCTGCAGCGGACGCTGTCAGATGAGAGTCTGTGCAGTGGGCGTCGGGAGCCCAGCTTCGCCAACCCTGCCGGCCTGGAGCCGGGCCTGCCCAGCGACGTGCTCTTCACCAGCACCTGCGCCTTCCCCTCCAGCACGCTGCCCACCCGCCGCCAACACCAGCACCCCCACCCGCCTGGCGGCCCTGGCCCCATCCCCACCACCGCCGGCAACAGCTTCCCCGAGAAGAAATGTGAGCCTGGGAGCCTGGAGGCTGGTTGGGGTGAGGGGTAGAAGAAATGTGAGCCTGGGAGCCTGGAGGCTGGTTGGGGTGAGGGGTAGCAGGGCAGGAGGGCATGAGCATGCAGATCACCTCGAGGTCAAACGCCACAGGTCATCAAAGTCAGATGAGGGTGGAAACTGAAGTACACGGGAGCTTCCGGGGACCCCAGTGGTTCTGCACAATGGGTGTCACCCTCAGAGCAGGGGATTTTTGGCCAAGCATCAGTCACCTAGGAATGGGGGGCCCCCCAAGGATTGGGGTCATCTGAGACCAGAGAGAGGGCATTAGTCTCTCTAGGTATCTCCAGACTGGAAGCTCATTACTAGGGCCCTGAGGATCAGGGTTTCCATTATATGCGCCCCTTTCCCAGCTCCCTGTTCAGCCTCAGCTCCCTGTTCCAGCACCAAGTAGATAACCTCATGAATTTTTTTTTAATATTTATTTTTATTTATGTATTCATTTGGCTGCTCCGGGTCTTAGTTGAAGCACCCAGGATCTTTAGTTACAGCCTGTAAACTCTTAGTTGTGGCATTTGGGCTCTAGTTCCCTGACTAGGAATCAAACCTGAGCCCCCTGCATTGGGGGCACAGAGTCTTAACCCCTGGACCATCAGGGAGGTCCTTGCCTTCAATTAGTGACTTCCTCCAGTCCTCCCGGCTCTCGAAGGGAGGGGATACCGTGGCGTGGCCACCATCAGCAAATATTTACTGAGGGAGTGCTGTGTGCACGGTTGCGCGCTGTCTGGGGTCGGTGTGCCTTCAGTCCACCTTGTAATACTCTATCCACAACCTCAAAGGCTCTGGGACTGGAAGGCAGGGCAGAAGTCCAGGCCAGGCACCCCCCTCCCCCCAGCAGTGCCCGACCCAAACGGATGTAAGGCTGTTCATGGCCCTTCTTTACCCCACTTGGCGTGAAGCATCCGTTGCTTAGTTGAGGAACACTGGTGTGTTGATTGGGGGCCACTGCCGACCTTTCCAGGTGTATGTGTGTATATAAAGTATGTCATTACTTTATCAGATTGCCACAAACCTTGACTTCAGAAATGTGCCCACCCCCAGGTTTCAGCTGCGGGGCTGTGCCCTGTAGCATCTGATGGAGCCCTTTTGTACACCACAGTGGATGGAGGAGGCTCGGGGACTTCTTCTGAAGAGTTCTGTCTCCCCCCTTAAAATTCTGCCACAGCTTCTCACTGACCTCCTATCTGGGTCCATATTCCTTGCCCTGATATTTTGGGGCTCCACCCGAGGGCCCTTCCTCAGTGCCTCCACTTCACGGCACCCTCCCTAAGAACCTCCTGTCCACACTCGCCCTCCTCAGGGTATTCCAAGTGACTTCCCTCTGCCTGCCATGCTGTTCCCCCAGCCCCCTGCTTGGTACCTGACACCTTTAGGGCTTTGCCCAGACCTGGCTCTTTCCTGGAGTCTCCCGTAAGCCCCAGGCCGGGTCCTTTCTCCCGTCTTAAACTCGAGAGCCCCTGGCCCACCCCCCTGTTGGCTTTCTCCCACTGTTTCTCCAGCCCCCGGTCCGGGCCAGGCTCTGCTGTGGGCTCTGGGCACCCAGCAGCGGGGGGCACATCACCCCCTGCCCTGGTGGCAGAGCTTCCCGGCGGTTTCTCCTGCTTATCTGAGCTTCGCTCTGTCTCCTTCATCAGCCTCTCACCTCCACTGCCCTGCCCGTGCTGAAGGCAGGTCCTGGCATGAGGAAGCATTTGACACATGGTGAGAAGGCAAGAGGCGGGCCAGGGCAGGGGTAGTGTGCCCAGAGATCACAGACAGACAGACAGACAGACAGAGTACCTGCCTGGCTCTACCTATCCTTTCAGTTGTGACAAAGATGCTGCCTCCTCCAGGAAGTCCTCTCTCCCTAACCAGGCTGAGTCAGGCACCTCCTCTGGGCAGCCCCTGCCCCTAGCTCCCTCCCATCCCATCATGCTCTCTCAGCCTTGGTTTCCCCACCACAGCCCCGCTCTTTCCCGGTGGTTGCTATGTGGGAATGAATCTGTCTCCCCCGCTGGACTGGGGACACCCTAAGAGCAGGACCCAGGGTTGTCTGGGTCCTTGCGGTGACCGCAGCCCAGGGCCCTCTTTCTCATGAAACGCGCACGCACACACACACACCCCATCTCTGTGCCCATCTGACTCCCCTGTCCTCCTGAACCTGAGAGTCCCATCTGGCCAGGGGCCCCAGGCCTTTCCATGTCTCCACGCCTGCTCGAGAGCCCTTCCCAAGCCACGTCGGGGCTGAAGAGGTGCTGTCAGCCCGAGCCCAGGCTCCCCTGATGAAGGGCCCTCAAGGCCAAGGAGCCTCTCATGAGGCAGCGCCTGAGATGACTTGCATGGCAGAGGCAGCTGCTCCCACGGTCCCCACCCGCTCGGCCACGAGACACTAGGAGGCTGGAAACGGGAGTGTGGGGATCAAGGGCATCCTTCTGCCTGCCTTCTCATCCATTCCCCTGAGCACTCATTCACTTGCCAACGAGGACCTCACATCCTGAGAGCCGGGTGGCTGGGGTTTGTGGTCAGGTCCTGACCTCACAGCTGTAACCTCCCTGTGCCTATAGAATGTAGGCCAAAAAAGCACCCTCCTCACTGAGTTAATCTGAGAATCAGACAAGCGAGTACAAGGGAAACACCAAACTCAGAGCCTGATATGCAGTAAGCGTTGAAAAAAACACTAGCTGTTGATGTGTTTGTTTGTCAGCGTTCTGTCACCAGGAGCGAGCGTTGTACCTTCTCATCAGTCAGATTTGCGCCTCTGAACTAAGACATGAGCAGGGAGCCTCTCAAGACCAACACCGCGTGGGGCCGGGCTTAGAGCAGGGTCAGCAGCAGACCCCACGTGTCACACTCAGGTGCCCCCACCAACAAGAGAGAAAGTGCGAGGCAGCCAGCTTCCTGTTCTGAGCCCCAGTCGCCCCTCTGTCACAGGGGGTCATAGTAGTGCATCCCTCCTGGCTGATTTGGGGGAGTGGGGGCTGAGAGATGAGCGCTGTAGTACCCAGTGTGGTGCCCGGCGAGAGGATGGACCTGGGGTACGTGGAGCAGGCCCAGCCTTTCCTGCCGGAGTCACCGCCCGACCTCCGTGCTTCCCTGTCACCCTCTGCGCCCTCCCCATGGGGTCTGTGAGGCCTCAGTGAGTCAGGGCCTAAGCCCGGCAGGGGGACTCCCTCCATCTCTGCAGCAGATGCCACCGTTGACACGCTGCCTGTGCCTTCCATCCTTTCCAGCACCCTGAGACACTTTCCCTGCCTGTCACGTCATGCCTGAACCCACCAGGCCTCCCCACAGTGACCCTAAACACCAGCCGTACCCCAAAGCCCCACGTTCTGTCTGCAGCCTGGCACTCTCCCCTCTCCTCCAGACGCACGTGGCCTGCACCCCACCCACAGCTCCGTGCGGGTGTCTCAGGCTTCTCACACTCACACCTCCAGAAGCCTCACTTCTGGTCTCGCCCCCGGTCCTCCCCAACTCTGTGCCAGCTCCAGGATCCTGAAGTCCTCCCGGAGCCCCCCCGTCTCACACCCACGTCCACCCGCAGGGAATGCTGTCGGCCCCACCTGCCGGGCGGACCCAGGACCTTGTCCCTCCAGCCGTACCGGGCCCTGTCTGCCTTCAGCTCCCTCCTGGACCGTCCCAGGAGCCTCCTCACAGCCTCCCTGATCCCCCCACAGAAAGCCAGAGGGATCCAGTGGACACTGGTGACAATTCAGAACCCTGCTCTGGCTCAGTCTCACTTGGGGAAGAGATACGGTTCTTGTCGTAGCCCCCAGGGCCCTACACCCTCCAGCCCTGTCACCACCTTCTGTCCCAGCCACGCGAGCCTCCTCTTTTTTTTTTTTAAAGTTTGTCTGTGTTGGGTCTTAGTTGTGGCATGTGGGATTTAATTCCCTGACAAGGGATCGAACCCGGGCCCCCTGCAGTGGAAACGCAGAGTCTTAGCCACTGGATATCTAGAGGAGTGCCCTCCTCAGTGTTTCTTAAACCTCCAGGCACGTTCCTGCTTCAGGGATTCATTTCTCACTGATTGGTTCATCTGCCCAGAAAGCTCTTCTCCCAAGATGTACCCCCTGACCACCCACCACGGCCTCGCCTCCTTCGGAGTTTTGTACAAAAGGCCATCTTCTCCGCAAGGCCTCCCCTGGCACCCTGTTTGAAATCATACCCACATAAATATCCGAGACTCCCACCCCCTTACCCTGCGGTTGTTTTCCCTGGCATTTATCATCTAATAAATATAATTTATTCATTTAATTATATATAACAGTGTAACAGTTATGTAATGTTACATAATTGTATGTGAAGTGTAAAGTAACGTGTTCATTTCTTTATTTCTCCCACGCTGTCACTCGCACCCATCCTCTCCCCACCCAGCCACCATCTCAGCCTCCGAGCTCTCACTGGCCGACGGGCGGGACCGGCCCCTGCGGCGTCTGGACCCAGGAATGATGCCACTCCCCGACACGGCTGCTGGCCTCGAGTGGTCCAGCCTGGTGAACGCAGCCAAGGCCTATGAAGGTAGGCGCCTTCCACCCAACCCCACCAGATCCCCACTCCCTTCTCTGTTCTGGAAGGATCCGTGGAGGGCCTTGGAGCTTTTTTTTTTTGTAGCTTACTCTATTTTATTTAACTTAGCCCTCTGTACTGCTGTGCTCAGTCGTGTCCAACTCTGCATCCCCACGGACCGTAGCCCACAAGGCTCCTCTGTCCATGGCATTCTCCAGGCAAGAGTACTGGAGTGGGTTGCAGTTTCCTCCTCCAGGGGATCTTCCCAACCCAGAGATCAAACCCTTGTCTGTTGTATTGGCCTATGGGTTTTTTACCACAGAGCCACCTGGAAGCCCACTTATCCTCTCTGTCAACATTACCTTTTTTTTTTTTCCTTGGTCAAAGTGGGCCTTTTTCTAAGAAGGAAGATGTGTTTTCTTTTTAATTTATTTTTTAATTGGAGGAAAATTGCTTAAAAAATATGGAACACTTCACAAATTTGAATGTCATCCTTCTGCAGGGGCCGTGCTAATCCTCTCTATCGTCCCAATTTTAGTGTATGTGCTGCCAAAGCGAGCACGGCCTTGAGGCTTTAAAGGGGGACACACTCAGGTTCCACATCAGGGGAGGGCAGGGTTCACATCCTCCCTGTCACTTGCTCACTGTGCAGTCCTGGGCAAATGTCTTCATCTCTCTCATCCCCCCAGCTAGAATGAGACTGTGTACCCACTGCCTAGGGCCACAGGGAGGAATCTATGAAAACTGTGTATAAAACCTGTCATCACAGAACATGCCGTCAACAGACAGTGCTCTCTGTTACTATTTTAGTGCGGAAGTGTAGTGATCCCAGTTGTACTTAGATGTCCTTTGGCTACAAGTGGCAGAATATCCAGTGACTTAAACAAGGTTTATGCGGTGAAAATTCCAGGGGTGGGCAGTCAGGCTGGCGGGCAGTAAAAATTTCTGGGGTCATCACTTCTGATTAGGGTCAAACTCCTTCCCCCTCTGCTCTGCCATTCCTGGGGACCTCACCCTCACAGTTGGGCTGCTAGAGCTCTGGCCATCACGTCCAGCTCTGCCCAGCAGGGAGAGACAGACACCCACCCCACCCCACCCCACCCCACCCCCACTTGAAGGATGTTTTCCATAGCCTCACCCTCCTCCTGCACTTAATCCCATTGGCCTGAGTGTCATGGCCACACCTTGCTACACGGCAGGCTAAGGAACGAGGCCCTGTGCACGACTGAAATTTGGCATCTATTGTTACGGAGAAAGAGAAAACAGACCATAAGAAAACTGGCTGTCTCTGCCATTTCCATCCCATGTGTCCCTGGGCAAGCAGCTTTACCTTTCTCAGCCTCAGTTTCCTCATCTGTGAAACCCTGACAGATAAGAATGTATTCTTCTGGCTCATTTTTCATCTTTTAGGCCACAGCTTTGCAGTCCCTCCTCCAGGAAGCCCTCCCTCATATCCCTTAGTCTGGATCAGACACCGCCTCCTGTTTCCCATGGCCCTGACTCCTTGGCCTGTGCCCTTGCTTTCTTTTTAATCAATTAATTAATTTGGTTGCATCAGGGCTAAGTTGCAGCACTCAGGCTTCTCTAGTTGTGGCTCATGGGCTTAGTGGCCCCAAGCATATGAGATCTTAGTTCCCTGACCAGGGATTGAACCCACCCCCCTTGCACTGGAAGTAGAGAGTCTTAACCACCGGACCATCAGGAATGTCCCCAGCAATAAGTTGTTTTTAAAAAGTAAAGGAGAAGGGGCTTCTCTGTTGGCTCAGTCATAAAGAATTCGCCTACAAATGCAGGAGGTACAGGAAGATCCCTGGTACAGGAAGATCCCAAACGCCACATGGCAGATGCCATGCACTGCAACTGCTAAGCCTGCGCTCTAGAACCCAGGAGTCGCAGCTGCTGAGCCCGTGTGCCTAGAGCCTGCGCTCCACAACAGGAGATGCCACCACAATGAGAAGCCCTTGCTCTGGAACTAGAGAATAGCCCCCGCTCACCACAACTAGAGAAAGCCCATACACAGCAACGAAAACCCAGCGCAGCCAAAAATAAATTTTTTTTTAATGTGAAGGAAAAGAGTGATCAGGAGAATTAAAAACCAAAGAGATCCCTGGGCAGGAACCCCAAGGTATGTTGAAGTGTGTTGAAAAGTGCTGAAACGGGTGATGGGTTCACGACCCCTGATGCTCTTTTCTCTGCTTTGGGGCCTGTTTGAAACTCTCTATATGAAAGCATTTTCAAAAAGCATAAATATTGAATCCAAGATAAAAAACAGCAGCTATAAAGGATGTTATTTAGAGAATTGGGGAAATTTCAAGGTGATTGTCTATTAGACGATAATAGCATGTCAACGTCAACTTGCCTGAGGACGATGTTGTGTCAGGAGTATATAGGAGCATTTCTTTTCCTTTCTGGAGATGCAGCATGAAGTACTCAGGGGTGAAGTACCAGGATGTTGGTGCATTCCCTTCCCCAATGGTTAGGGAAGGAAGTGCGCACAAACGCAGGAAGTAAGTGTGGCACGACCGTTAACATTGGGGAAGGCATTTGGGTGTTCACTGAGCTGTTCTTGGAGCAGGGAGTTAGAAATAAAGGAACCCGCCTTTGCCTCCCCAGGAGAGGCACAGCCCCTCCTCTCTGCTGTCCTAAGACTCACTTAGTGAGAAAATGTCAGCTGCACAGTCATGTCCTACTCTTTGTGACCCCATGGACTGTAGCTCACAAGGCTCCTCAGAATGGGATTCGCCAGGCAAGAATACTGGAGTGGGTTGCCATTTCCTTCTCCAGGCGATCTCCCTAACCCAGAGATTGAACCAGGGTCTCCTGCATTGGGCTTCCCTTGTGGCTCAGCTGGTAAAGAATCTGCCTGCAATGTAGGAGACCTGGGTTCAGCCCCTGGGTTGGGAAGATCCCCTGGATAAGGGAAAGGCTACCCACTCCAGTATTCTTGCCTAGAGAATTCCACGGATAGTCCATGGGGTCGCAAAGAGTCAGACACGACTAGCGACTTTACTTTCACTCCTGCATTGCAGGCAGACTTCTTTAGCATCTGAGCCACCAGGGAAGCCCCAGGACTCACTCAGCCAGCCACTCTTTGGATGCGTTCAGACTGTTTTCGATTTCTGCCATCATAGAAGGACCACCTAACGGTCCCATGTGAAAAAGCAGGCACTGGCTCAGGCCCCGCCTGCCCCTACCCCCCCCCCCCCCCCCCCGCTCCCGAGCCAGTCACGTGTCTGGGGGATGGGACCTGGGCATCTTTGCTTTAACCACCAGTCCCATGAGACTGTTTCTCTCTTCCATATACTTGATAGTCACTGTTTGGCGTCTCTCTCTACTTTGGAAGTTTCACATTCATTCTCAGAGTTAGGACATAATGAATCCCTGTGTCCTCATCAGCCATTGTCAACTCTGTCCACTTCTGGCCATTTTCCCCCTCACCATTATTGACAAAACCAGGCCATTTCAGCTGAATTGGGGTGGTTCCTTGCCCACACTGTGCTCAACCCCTTTCTCCGTCCCTTGTATTGTGTATAAACTAGTCATCGGGTCCAGAGGCTTACTCAGAAACAGGATGGAATATTGTGTTTGTGTCCTGACTTGGTTTGGTTTTTTGGCAAGAATCCCTCCTGTATGCCTGTGTGATCTAAGCGGGTGTGATTGGGAGTGTCCTGGGGGTTTGCAGGAAGGGATTGGCCGTTGCATGGGGAGGGGTGGTGTGAGGAGGAGCTGGGAGCCCAGCCGACCACCGTGCCCCTCTCCCCCGCAGTGCAAAGAGCCGTGTCGCTCTTCTCTCTCAACGACCCAGCTCTGAGCCCGGACGTCCCGCCTGCACACAGCCCTGTCCACAGTCACCTGAGCCTGGAAAGGGGGCCCCCGACCCCCAGGACCACCCCAACCATGAGGTGAGGTTCTCCTACCCTGCCGTCCATGCAGGAGGCCACCCTGCAAGTCCCCCCACCCCCTCAGCAGTAGCAGGAGGGGCGGCCACCGCCTCATCTAACAGACTTTGGGCTCATCCACTCGCTGGGGCCCAGCGGGGACCAAGCAGTGTCGCTCCTGACCTCGCATGGAGGCCCTGTCTCCTCGGTGGAGACAGCACAGTGATCATTGTTCTGCTGCCAGCTTTGAATCGATAAGTGGTACCCCCAGTCTTCCCTGCCTGCTGCCTCACCGTCCGCCCCCTCTGTCCACCCTGCTCCCAGCCTCCAGCCTGCCCTCTGTCTGCTCCTGGGTCTCCTCCTCTGCAGGTTCCTAAATTACGTGCCGGTGCCCCTGACATTTATGTCTGACCTCGTCCCTGTCAGGCCCCAGGCCGGACTGTCTGGGGACCCAGCGGTGACTGGGGCCTGAGCCCTGTCCTCACGAGGCTTCCGGGGGCGGGGAGGCAGGCCTCTCCCATTTGTCATCTCACATTCGGCGCAGCATGTTTGAGTGCACTAACTTGGCAGAAAATAGAATCACAAAGAGGGAGAGAAGATGGAAATGGCAGGCTTGCATGTCCGTGGATTTAAATAGTGCATTTCACACTCAGCTGCATACTTCACCGTGCAGTGACGTATGCGACAGTAGTGCACTCTACTCTATGGGCAGTTGAAGTGATTTTCGGGGGTGGTTTTGGCTCTTCTTGTTTTTCACTTCACACCCTGGCTTTAGAGCTCAACCTCAAGCCGACAGTGCTGGCCCCACTGTCACAGCAGAGCTGGGCGGTTCCGGGATGGGGTGCTGCAGTGGGGTTGGGAACACGGTGCGTGTAGAAATGCCAGGGCCTGTGGCTTCCCAGCAGACTCCTGGACTCCTCTTGCCCTGAGCTGCTGGCCCCTCCCACCTGCCTCCAGCCTCCCCCTGTGACTGCAGCTCCCTAAGATGTAGGACCAGCAGGGAGGAGAGAGGTGGGGGGTGGGCAGCGAGTCCTTCCCGCTTCTTGAGCGGACACCCTTCCTCCTTTCTCATCCATCCCGGGTGCGTGCGTTCCCACCGTGCCCAGAGGAGCCTTCTGCAAAAAGAGGCTTTCCCCTTCCTCTACAGGGGCCAGGCGGCCCCAGGATGGGGGAACCCACTCAGGAGGAGCCACAGGCTGGGGTCCTGGATACAGCATCCCTGCCTGAGCCGCTCAGACCTCACACATCACAGGGTGGGCTCTCAGAAACGGGGGCTGTTACCATCATACGTCTGGTTACAAGTCCTGCCCCCCCGGCAGGCCCTCCTGCTCACGTGCCCACTTACACACCCCGAGTGCCGGCTCTGTGCTAGGGCTTGCTCGGTGCTGGGTGGGTGGATGTGGGGAGGGGGCTTTGTACCACACTGCCCTGGGTGGTGGGAGGTGGGAGGAATTCCTCCTGAAAGTGCACAGTTGGTCCCTCTGCGGGAGCACCGCTGCTCACTTCAGGCCTGGTGCTCCCACGCCCCACCAGGTGAGGAGCCTGCCCCAGACAGAGCGCAGCCTTCACCCCCCAGGCACCCCTGGGGACTCCAGCAAGGAGAGAACTGCCCAGAGCCTCAGGGACAAGAGGGGCCTGCACCCTGGGCTCCTCCCAGCTGTGGGCAGAGATCCTGACCCCACCCCCTGCCTTTGCAGCGAGGAGCCGCCCCTGGATCTGACAGGCAAGGTGTACCAGCTGGAGGTGATGCTGAAACAGCTGCACACGGACCTCCAGAAGGTAAGGCCGCCAGGCAGCTGCCTCACATGGCACTTTTCGGATGCCTGGGGGGTGGGCAGGTGGGCAGCAAGGCTGGGGCTCCCATCTCCACCCCCATCCTGTCTGTTCTAGGAAAGGCCACCCAGCTCTGAATGTAGTCATGAGTGAAGAGCTTGACAGTAGGGAAGGCTGGTAACACACCCAGAAACTCTTAGAAGGAGAATAAGTTGGCCCAACCTTATTGGAGGGCGGTCAGACCATATTTATCAAAACCATAATTGTGTACCTTGTCAACCCAGCAGTTTCGCTGTGAGAATTCATTCAATAGAATTCCAAGCACGGCACAAAGAGACCTGTGAGCAGGGGTGTTCACTGCTGGACCACTGGCCATAAAAAACTGGAGCCAGTGCAGCTGTCTGTTCACAGGAGAATAGTGACGTAAATGACAGGACAGCCTTGCGGTGGAATAATCTGCTGCGAATTAGTCATGGCAGAAATCTATATATTCACTGACATACAGAAGAAGTCCAGTAACTCAAGGAGAAAACGCAGCATGCGGCAGACCTGTTTCCTAGAACACAATAACACTTTAAAAATGTCTCCCAGCTGTGGGTCAGAGGGCTATCTAGAAGGTGACATTCCAGATGGTTCCTTATCTGCAGAGTGCGGGAGAGTGAGGAAAAATCAGTGGAAGAGACTCTCGCTTGTTGTTTTACATACTTCTGGGTAAAGGGCCAAAAGGTGGCCAAGTGTAACGTGGAAGCCTCAGGCATAGGAATCGCGGGGGCCCAGATTCAAATCCCACCCCACCATGTAAGGCCGTGTGATGCTGCACACATCGCTGCCTGAGCGTGTTGCCCTGTCCTGAGAGGGCAGCCCTGAGTCCACGTCCCAGCCCCCTCCTCGCTGCATGAGGAGGTCTGGTCTCCTTTCCTGGTCCAGGAAAATCGGGGTCACAACATCCCACAACCCTTGGGTGGCTGCAGGACTGGAATGAGGTGATCATAGTAACTGTCACACAGTTACTCCACTTCAGGCTGTGTGCTGAGAGCTCAATATGTGTGACCTCAGGGAAACCTCTCAGCCACTCCTTTGACAGTTATTCTTGTTTTGTTTTTTTGACCAAACAGTGAGGCATGTGGGATATTAGTTTCCCAACCAGGGGTGGAACCCTCACCCCCTCCCTTGGAAACGTGGAGTCTTAACCACTAGACCACCAGGGAAGTCCTGTCAACCCCCCCCCCCCCAGTTTTAGAACTGGGGAAACTGGGGCCCAAAGAGCTTGACCTTCTCTGGGTCAAATGGGCCCATGAGGTGACCAAAGTTTAGGCTCATGAGGTGACCTGCCTGAGGTTACTCAGCTGCTGAACCCTGGCAGCTGGGCAAGGCTCACAGGCCGCAGGGGCTGCCGTTCAGCCTGCGCCCCGCTGACACCAGCCCCCGCCCCACAGGAGAAGCAGGACAAGGCGGTGCTGCAGTCAGAGGTGGCCAGCCTGAGGCAGAACAACCAGCGGCTGCAGGAGGAGTCGCAGGCCGCCAGCGAGCAGCTGCGAAAGTTTGCGGAGATCTTCTGCAGGGAAAAGAAGGAACTCTGAGCTGGAGAGGCTACCACCCGCACCGGCCGCCTGGGCGGACGTGGGCTCCTGCCCTCCTCTCCCTCGGCCCGGCCCCTGGTCGCAGGCGTGACCAAGATACTGCAGCCCAGGCCCCACCGCCCTTTCAAGGACACGGACACTTGGGGCAGCAGTGGGACCTGAGGGAGGCCTCCCCCGGCTGTCTACTCTTGGTCCTCGAGCCCCAGAGGGCAATGTGGTCTCCGGCCTCCCTCTGAGCTGCTCTCTCTGGTTCCTGGGGGCTGGGCCCATGCCCACACCATCCCCAGGGGGCCCGTCCCACCCTCCTCACCCAACTTCTTCCTAGGACCAAGCCATTGGAAGCTGTAGGAAGGGAGGGAGGGCAGGAGCGAGTCTCCAAACCCCACAGCTCCAGGAGCTCACAAACCAGGTTTCCTCACCACATCCAACAGTATCTGGGGTGGTGGGGCCTTGACCCCTGCATGAAAAATCATGGTGGGAAACTGGCCCAGCGGCGTGGAAGCGGGGCCAGGGCTCTCCATCCTGGGTGCACTGGCTCCAAAAAGCACGGACTTCGCCCCCTCCCCACCCTATCCTCCAAAAAGCAACCGGGAGCACTTTCTTAGAGTTTGATTTATTTTCTTGAGGGGAGGGCATCCCAGGATGGAAAGAGGAAACGCCGGCATTCCAGAGTTAACTTCTTTGATGGGGAAGCTATTTGCACACTTGGGACCATTTCCACAGTCTTTTTCAACCAGTCCCCAGACTGCCAGAGGCCGCGGCGCCTCCACCTTCGAGCTACTGACACGTCCGGGCCCAGCGGCTCACCTCTCCTCCTCCATCAGCCCCGGCCTCTTCTGGACACCAGGAGGGCCTCCACCAAGGCCTCAGGCCAGGGCTGGAGAGAAACAGCCTTCATCTCCTCTCTGCTTTTGTTTTCCCTTTACAAGACCCCCAGCCCATCTTGCAGGTCCCCCAGCAGTGACGTTGGACCCCCCCGGGGAACACTGCAGTGCGCACCCCCACTAGGCGCTGGTTCTCCAAAGGCAATAAGGGGCAGCTGGCTGGGCAGCCGAGCCAGTGTGGTACTACGCTGTTCACCCAGGAAACAGAGCTTCTTTTTTTTTTTCCTTTAAAAACAAACAAAATATATATATATATATATATTTATTTTTTCATGTAGAGTTGCGCCAGAACAAGTCTGTATGGTCACACAATCTGTGGATTCCCCCAACCTCAAACAGGATCGAGGCTTGTTCCCCGCTCCCAGTGGGCTGGGGCTCAGTGGGGGGGACTCAGAGGGACAAAAACCGGGCAGGCCTGGGGACCCTGCTCCAAGCAGCACACTCCAACTGGGAGGCCAGCGCTAGGCGTCCCAGCCCCACGTCCAGAGATCCCCACCACCTTCTCTCTGGGGCCAGAAACCTCAGGGGAGGAGGCCCACACAGGACACAGACTTTTAAGGAGCAAGAGAAAAGGACCCTGGTCCCTGAAGCAACACTGCAGTCCCACAATAAGAGCCCTCGGACCTGCCATCTCCTCTCCCCCAGGAAGGGAGGGGGGGCGGCCCTTGGGGTCCTCAGCCCTGGCCAACTACTGTGATGTCTCTGCCCCTCTTCCCGGATCCCTTCTTGGAAGGGTTCTCCAGGACCACCCACCCCACCCCCACCCCTTTCCTCCTCAGACCCTAACCTGGAGCCTGCCCCACCCCCACCCTCTTTTTTTAAGTCATCTCCTACCTTCAGATCATTTGAGTCATCTTGGGGACCTAATCATGTACATTAACACGTGTAAATTAGGATTTTTGGTTTTGTTTCCTGTTTTTTTTTAAGGATCTCTGCAAAGCACATCTATTTAATTCGAGTTTGGTGAAGATAGCAGCAGGGGTTTTTGTGTTTTTTTTTCCCCTCTCTTTTCCCCCCAGTATGTTGATTTGTTTCATCTGGATTTTTTTTCTTTTAAGTTCTTTATTGTCTTACCCTCCCCACATCCCCTCCCCATCCCAGTCTTGAGATTTTCTGGCATGTTTCTGGAGGTTTCAAAGGAAATAAATGTTTCATAGAAGTGGCTTGTGTGTTCACTAGCTGAGCAGCCCCACAGAGTCCCTGACAAGAGGGGGTGATCCAGCATCAGCCTCCTGTCCCCCTCATCCCAAACACCATCACCCCCAGTGCGCACACACCTTTAAGAACCCAGGAGCACCATTCTCACCAACTTCTCTTTCTCAAAACCCTAGCAACAGAAATCCAACACAGAATGTAAGAAATGTGAAAAGCACAAAGTACTAACCCCTGGACTGCCAGGGGATTCCTTCAAATGTAAGAAATTCTTAAAAAGAGGGAGGTTCTACCCTCACAAGTCATATACTGGAGGCCCAAAACCCAGACCTGGGGTTTCCCTGGTGGTCCAGTGGTTAAGAATCCACCTTATGATTCAAGGGACGGGAGGTCAATCCCTGGTCCGGGAAGATCCCACATGCCTCGGAGCAGCTAAGCCCATGTGCCTCATCTACTGAGACTGCGCTTTGGAGCCTAGGATCCTCAACTACCAGATACTGCAACAAGAGAAGACACTGCAGGGAGAAGTCTGCACACCACAACGAGAGAGGAGCCCCCGCTCTTCACAACCAGAGAAAGCCCAAGCGCAGCAACAAAGACTGACCCAGCACAGCCAGAAGTAAATGTATTGACAGAAAAATGAATTTTTTTTAAAAATAACGATCAGCTTGATCTCAGCTGGCCTTGACCTGCAGTGGCTTGAAGCAGGATTTCTGTTCCTGGTCAGAGATTGAGGTCGGGCCACAGCAGTGAAAGCGCTGAATCCTAACCACTAGACCACCCAGGACAGTGGCCAGTGAAGGCCCTGGCCCATCAGTTGTGTAGAAATGGGTTTCAACATAGAAACGGAAAGTACCGAAATAAGTGTTCGTTAGGAGGGAAAAGAGTACAGTCTGTGTGGATTAGACATATGGGTGGGCTCAGAGAAAGTCACGCCCTCCTGGTAGTTTGAATCAGTTTTATGGAGCATTTCTTCAGGGTTTCCTTTGGCCGGTCATCTTGCATTGCCTGGTTTGGAGTCCCTCTTTGGTTTATCCCAGGATCCTCTCGTGTGCCCAAGCATCTCTTAGCCAAGATGGATTCCAGCAGAGAGGCCTATGGGTAGGAGTTGACATCACTTACTATGAGGTGACGCCCCCTTCCTTTTGACCTCCAAGGAGCCTTTCTGCACATGTGTAGTGGGGAAAGTCCACTTGACTTGGAGAATAAAGAATGTGTGGTCTATCTTTTATCTGGGCAGGGTCCAGCTCTTCTCTCTCCTGCTATTTTGAAGGATCTGTCCACAGGGGAGAAGCCAGCTGTTCACCCTGGGGCCCATCTAGCTCCTACCTCATGGTTTTTAAAATCTGGAGGTGGTACAGAAAGAAAGCTGGATTTTGAGTTTAGTAACTCTGATCTCAAACTCTGAGCTGCAAGACTCAGAACCGAGGGGCCCCTGCCTCCCAGCTGGGCTGTCGCCCCAGGCCACACCCTCCAGGCAGGCGCTGGCTCATTTGCACCCCCTCCACCCCCGTCCCCCACCCTCGCCTTCTCTCTGCCAGTCATCTAGTTGGTGGTTTGGAGTGAAGAGCAGCTGCTGCTTCCAGTCCCAGAGCTCCAGGCGTTGTCGATGTCTTGGAAAGATACTGGTGTCCCCTGGGACCTCAGCCCTGGGCCAGACCCTCATCTTGGGGCTCTCCTGGCCGGGAGGGGTCCTAAACCCCTATCCCCAGGTCTGCAGCTGCCCTGACGAAACCCCTTTTGCAGTTTGACCCAGGGATCGGGGTCAGACTTATTTTCCAAATCCCCAGATTTCATGTGAGAATCCCATGCTTCGGCCTCTTGTGGGAAGTCTGGGTCCAACTCCGCCTGGATCCAAGAAGCAATCCCACTACCTCTTTACAGGCCTGACCCCACGGCTGGGGCTTTCTAGCCCACCTGCCCATTTACCTGTGCTGGACTTTATCATTTCTGAGCTCATACCTGACACTTCTCTAACCCAGACCCCCGCCCTGCAAAGAAAAAAAAAAATACTCTTTCCCAAACGGGTACATATCCTTTTTCCAGAGGAGGTGGACCAACTATTTCCACACCTCCTAAAAATTCTAGAGTGTTCCAGACACCCTCCCTGTCTCCGCCCTCCTTGAGGCTCCATCTTCCACCCCGGCTACCCTCCCCCACCGGCACGGAAACGGCGGAACAAGCTGTTCTCACATCCTCTCCTGGCGCCTGTGACACACACCAACTTCCAACACCCCGCAACTCACACACGCCAGCCCGTGCTCTCGCCCAAACGGTGCCCTGCGCGTCCCTTCCTCGGCTTGCCCCAGTTTTCTGCTTCCTCTGCCTGTTTCCCCGCTCTCCCCCCAACCCAAGCGGGCGCCCTCCCTGCCTGCCCCCAGCCTCCCACCCCACTTCTGGCTCTCCCCTCACCCAGCCTTTGAATCCTTTCCTGCTTTTGGCACTCTCCAGATTTTTCTATTGTCTCCCTCAGTTCTTGACGTCCTCTTGCCCGTGAAGTGTCATCTCTGTATCATTGTCCTGGGACTTTGCCTGTCCTGGATGCTAACTTCATCTCTCTCCCCAAATGTACCTCCTTTCTCATTCTCTCTTCCCCTCTCCTGTTTGATGGGCCCTGGTTCTCTGCCTTCCCTCGCGGAATCTCTTCTACTTCTCTCTCCAAATCACTGACTACTCCTTTCTCTGTCTCTCCCCATGCGTCTGCTATTTTTTATTACTGTTATTTCCTCTTTCCCACTAAATCTCCATCTCGTCTGTTCTCTTCCCCCATAATTCCTGTGGCTCCTTCATCCACATCTCTCTCCCAGATCTATGTCTTCCCTCTCCTGCTCTTTTTTCTGATTTTCTAAAAATGTGTGACTCTGATAGCTGTCTCTCTCCTGACCGTTCTTGTGTCCTGGTTCTCACTCTTCACCTCACCTCACCCGAGTCTGTCACTCCCCTGATGTCCCTGGATCTGCACTGTTCTTTCCTTTGCCCCTTCCCCTCTGTCCTTTGCCCCAGAGCGGGGATGGGGAGCTCCAGGGGATGTCTGGTCCTAGGGTGAGGCCCTAGGGTGGTACCCCTGCTCCCTCCTGTAGCCCCAAGGGGAGGGCGTCTTCGTCTCTCCATCCCTTCCCTTCCCCCAGTCCCCAGCTTCCCGCCTCCCTCCCTCACTGCTTGCCTCCCTCCCTCACTGCTTCCCGCTGCAGCTGCAGCAGTCGGTTGCCAGGGCAACCACAGCTGGCTGGGTGGGAGCCCCCTCTTCCCCATCCCTCCCTCTTCTCCTTTCTCCTCCCCTCCACCCCATCCTCCCCTCTTCTTTCCAGCGAGGCTAGGAGGAGCTGGGACAAAGCCAGGAGAATGGCGGGGGTGCCGAGGGGAGCTGGGAGGGAGATGGAGGTAGGGGCCCCACTCCAGCTGTTCACCTCGGTTGCTTCTCCCCTCGAGAGGCCCCATCTCCCCTTCTCGGCGACGCCCCAAAGCAGCCTGGAGAATGAAGCCAACGATGTGGGCAGAGGGGTCAGCCCCACTTTAATACACAGAACAAGTTAATTCACAGCAGAGGCAGGCAATAAAGGAGACTCGTTGACAAGGGGGGGTGGGCACGCCTGGATTGGGGGGAGACTCCCCCAAGCCCACCACTTCCCCCACTTGCAGTCTCGATTTCCCTTTTTTTTTTTTTAAACCCGAACAACAAACACACACAACCACAAGAAACAACCACGCCCCCTCGTGACCCAAAAGTGGCCCGCGAGGGTGGCAGGGAGGGGCGGGGAGGAGAAAGGGGAGAATCTAGTCCGTTGCAGAGTCTGTGCTTCTCATTCCAGCAGGCGCTGGGCAGGGGCCCGCCTCGCCCCACCGGCGACGGCCAGCCAAGGCCAGCAGGCACGGAGTGGGCACGGGCAGGCGGGCAGGGCTCTCAGGGAGGGAGCAGGAACGGAATTCAAAACCATGGTTCACATCGTCATGCAGTATCCACGGTGGGCACCGAGGGGGCGAGGGATGGACACCACGCCCCCCGACCCGGGGCCCAAGGAGGGGATGGTGCCCGTCTTGGGTGGGGAGGTGGGACAGCTGCAACTCCAGGGGCTGGGGGGAGGGACCGCCAGGCAGGACGCTGGCGTAGACTGGTGCCCAGTAGATGCGCTCAGCAGTGCCCACTCCACCCAGCCAGACCTTATAGGACTCTTTGTTATATATTAATTTCTCTCTTTTTTTTTTTAAGTTTTTGACTTTTTCTTTAGAAAAAGGCTTTGTCCGTGCCCCCAGCCGGCATCCACCACCCCTCGTGCCCGCCTAGAGGCGGGGTATGGCTTTGAGGGGAGCAGAAGGCCCTGGTACCCATTTGCCAAGGGGGTGAGGAAGGAGGGAGGAAGGGAGAGGACCCTGCTGGGCCCACCAACCCACAGGGCAAACATTCCACTTGCTCAGAGGGGAGGGGGTGGCCCGGCCCCCTGGCCCCCTCTCTGGCTCCCCCCGCCCCTCCCACTGTGGGGCGTTAAGGATGGGGAGAGAGTGGAGGAGCTCCAAGAGGAGAGGCAGGTAGGCAGGCATCACCCCAGAGGTCCGGGCGAGCCAGAGCCAGGCCTAGGTGAGGGTGATGTAGGCAGATGCCTTCTCTTTCAGGTGCCGAAGACAGAGGTGACAACTCCAGCTCCCTGCGGGGCAGGCGGAGGGCAGGGAGTTGGGTCAGGTCTGGGCAGGGCTGCCCCCACCTCCACCCCCGTCAGACCCTCCTCCTCTCACCTTCCGGGGGCTCCGCCATGGGGGGACTCAGGCAGTACATGTGGTAACCCCGATCGCAGTCATCACAAAACAGCAGCTGGTCCTGGGGGGTGAGACCCGCCCAGCTGGCACCCTGGGGGTACGGGCACCAGAAACCGGGGTGGGGGGCGGGGGCAGGGGCCAGGTCAAAGGGGCTGGGGGAGGTGGTCCTCTTGCAAGACAAAGGGCTCTGAGAAGGTCATCTCTGCAAAACCCTGCTGGGCCGCGCCAGACGCCCTTAGGGACCGTCAGTTTGTGGTTTGTAGTTTGGGTTTTATAGGAGTCTGTGGGACATTGAAAATGACACTGAGATGGTCTGGAAGTCATGGGTTCAGGTCCCAGCGGAACCATGTTCCCAGCTGGGTGACCTCGGGCACGTGTCTTCCCCTCTCTGAGCGCGGTGTCTTCTCTGTGAAGTGGGAAGAAGAGCACCTACCTCAGGGCGGTTGGGAGCACTCAAGAGAGTGAAGAGTGTTAAGTGCTGGGTTCAATTAATGGCCACTAACAACAGGAATAATACAGGTTACTGGTGCTCACAGGGAGGGCGCTCCAGGGAAAGGCGTGAGGCCCAGCTGGCCAGGTGTGGAGGCTGCCTGGGGGCAGGTCCCCGGGGGAGGGCGCAGATGGGTACTCACGTCGTTCTCCGAGGTGCCACACAGGCTGCAGGACTTGCACTCGATGCACTGCCAACGGTAGGTGCGCACGGCCGCCGTCATGTTCACCGTGAACTGTAAACACGAGGGGTGTCCTGGGGGCCGAGGGGCAGGGATGTGGTTAGGGGTTGTCGTGCCCCTGGTGGCTACTGACCCTGGGGAAGACCCTGGGGGCTCAGCCCCCACCCCCTGGCTCACAAGGCCTGACCCCGCCCAGCCCACAGTGCCCCGTGCCCGTTCCGCAGGCAGCGCCGCCCCGGCCACCAGTCTCCTACCCAGCCACCATGGCAACCACACTCTGCTCCCCAGAACACCATGGCAACCGCATTCCATTACCCACGGTGCTGTGGCAACCACTTTCTACCACCCACAACACCGGGGCAGCCACGTTCTGTTAACCGCTGTGCTGAGGCAGCCACATTCCATTAGCCACATCAGAGTGGCCAACCGATTCCCTTAACCGCAGAACGTGGCAACCACAGTCTCCCAGCCACGATGCCACGGCAACTGCCTTCCACAGAGGGGTCCCCACACCCTGGTTCCCTGCAGCCCAAGCCCATTACACACAACGCCACAGCAACCATACCGTTAGCAACGTGACTGTGGAGCGTGTCAACCCTCTGGTCGTCCCACCAGCCCAGCGCAGACCCACAGCCATGACCCCAGGCCACCACAACACCCAATCGCCATGACAACCGTATTTCACTACCCGTAATACCATGACAACCACAATTCATTAGCCACTGTGCTGAGGCAACCACAGTCTCTTACCCACAAGTCCACCTTGGGAAACCACATTCTGTTAATCACAACTCCATGGCAAGCGCCCTCTGTTGCCCACAACATCCAGGCAGTGGCAATCGCTATCACAGCCCACCACCCCATGGTGTTTTGGCAGCCATCTTTCACTGTTCCCCAGGCCAGACAGGCACGTGCCAGTGTCCACGATGCCATGACAACTGCGTCCCATTGTTCCCAGAGCCTCCCTGACCCCACTGAGTTTCCCACAGTCCTCAGCAGTTGAGTCAGCTGTTTATCCACCAGGATGCTCTGTGTTCCCCCCAGTTCTCTCTCCTCTGCTTCCTACCCTCCAAATCTGGAGTCTCTCCACCCTGGCCCCCAGAAGCCTCAGGTGGGGGTGCATCACCTGATCGCCCACAGTCAGCACAGGAGATGAGGTCCTCAGGACACCCTGTCTTCTTGGAGCCCCCCAGGCAGAAGTCGCAGTAGCCGTTGGGGATGACAGTGCCGTCAGGCGCCTTCTTGGCTGAAAGACAGCAGGCAGGGGTTGGCGGGGGCAGGAAAGGAGCCTCAGTCCAAGGCTGCTGCAGAAGTAGGGGCGGAGGGAGGCGTCCCTACCTGTGTGTTTCCTCTGTGACTCAGGGACCCAGGCCAATTCTTTGTAAAACTCTGGGGGTGGGGGACAGAGAGAGGGGCTCTCACCACAGGCAAGGCTCCACCCTGCCCATGGCCTCAGCCCCAGGGGTGAACCCCTTGTCCAGGCATGGGGGAGGTGAGGAGAGGGAGCCCCTACCCCAAGCTGCATTCAGCAGCAAAAGAGAGTTGCAGGGAGCCCAGGTAATTCTCATCAGGACCCCCCAACTCTCTGAGAACAACTGACAGGGCCTCCTTATTAGGTAAAAACTTGGCAGGTACAGCTTTAGGAAAAGCCCCCTGCTTCCCCCGCCCATATGCACTTCTGCCAGACAGCCACCCCCAACTAAGCCCCAACTAAATAAAAATTAGGTAGAGGCCAGTGGCCATGATCTGATATGGAAACAGACACTCAGAAGGAAAATTCTGAACACAGAGGTGCTTGGGTGTGTAGTAGGGGTGGGATGGAGAGACTGCTCTCTCCCACCGAGGAATGGGTGGGAGGATGGTTCCTCCACTGGCAGAGCCTCTTCCCAAGCCTTCCCCTATCCCTCAGCTGTCGAGGTTGGCACTGGATTGGCATGGGCGGATGCCAAGGGTTCCCAGGCCACGGCCCCTGCCCCTTGGCCGAAGCTTAGCAGAGAAGGGAGGAAGGGAGGCAAGGAGGGAGGGGAGTCATCTATCACCCCCCTCCCCAAGCTCTAATTGAAACAATAAATCAGACCCAGAAATATTACGCCCGGCCGGGAGCGAGGGAGAGATGGTTGGTTGCCATGGCAACCCCAGAGCCAGCATCCCCATGGTTGGTGGGGGGAGGGGACCGCTGAGCTGGAGATTTTCCAGAAATGTCTAATGTGCCCCCTCCCTCCCAGGCTCCTTAGCCCCCACTCCCAGGGCCCCTCACCACCCCACGCCCTGCCCGCCTGCTCACGTTTATGGTTGTTTTTCCGGTGGAAGGGCAGGGCGTGGCGTTCGGCGTTCTCCTCCCCCTCCTCCTCAGCCAGGTGGGTGTGGGTGTAGTGGTAGCTGAGCCCTGGCCGGTTCTTATACCGTTTCCCACAGACTGGAGAGTGAGCAGGGAGGGCCGGTCAGCCCTCCAGCCCCTGCCGCCTCCACCCTGGCCTCCAGGATCACACCTCCCCCCTCTGCCAGGGTCCAGAACAGGAGGGAAGGGGGCCAGTGCGGAGCAAGGTCTCTGGGTCCCACTCTCTCTCTCTCTCTCTCTCCTCCCCCCTCTTCAGAAGGACTCACTATCACAGACATACGGCTTGTCTCGGTCCTCCAGGGAAGCGGTGTCCTGGCGTTTCCGGAGCCCCCCGATGCCGTATGCCTGAAGGGAAAGAGTCAGGAGTAAGGGGCCAAGAAAGGGAAGGCACTAAAAGAATTTTCACCATTTGGGCCTGAAAGCCCAATCATAGTTCTGCCACTTCCTAGTGAGTCTAGGGTGACTCTCTTGACCTCTTGGAGGTTCCATTTTCTCATCTGTGCCATGAGTAGGAAGATAGCTCTAACCCACTGTACAATCTGTTTTGCAAATGGCTTAATATGCTCAGGCCTCAATTTCCTCACCTGTAAAATGGGTATAAAAATCCCCTACCCCTTCAGGCTGCTCTGAGAGTTAAATAAGGTAAAATTGGGGCAGGGTCTAAACATTGCACAAGCAATCAATGGAACCTGCCTTGAGAGGAAGGGTGATGGGAGGAGGTTTGGGAGCAATACCTTTCCTTTGGCCCTGTTCTTCCTCCTGGGCATGTCATCCTCTGGGTCTTCCACTTCAAGATCATGCGGAAACTCCAGTAGTTGCTGTTTCTGGGCATCAGGAGAAGGGAGACTGGGGTCAAGAAATGGGGTATTGTTCTACTTTGGGAGGTAGTTCTGGGCACAGCAAAGATCAGGGGTGGCAGGGCAAGTTAGGAGGTCTTCGCAAAAGAAAATGAAGTGTGGAGGGATGGAGACAGGATGCTCAAAGGTCATAGGGAATCAGGGGAAATTTCAGAGCAGGAGCAAGATGGGCCAGGACACAGGCCAGTTGAGAGGGCAGCCACAGCCCCCTGGATGGGGGGGGGGGGGGTGGGCAGTCCTACCTGGCAGTCCATAATGGTCTCCTCCTCCTTCAGCTCTATCTTCTTCTCCCCTGTCTCGGCACACAGGAGAGCCTCAAGGACTGGCCCTTCGGGGAGGCCACCCTCCTTCTTCAGCGGTGCTTCACAGTCTGGGGACAAGACCACAGCAGGTAGGAGAGGGGTCAGGTGGAGAACTTGTCCCTGGAGGAAGACTCAGACTGCCCAGGTTGGGGAATCATGCTCTTTGCTGGAGGAAAGAGGCTTTCCCACACTCAACCAGCAACAGACTCAAATATTCAACCATCCATACCTCCCTCAATACTTCCACACATCCTAAGGATGCCCAGACCCTGGAGAAGACACAGTCAGACCATCAGAGACCACTGGACATACTCAGGGAGAGACATGGCGGGACCTCCTGTATAACTACATAATACAAATAGGAGACCCTACCCAGACCCCCACAACTGGAAAGAACAGACATTCAAACAGCACACATGGGCATATACACAAGGGAGATACAGACAGATCATCTGAGACAGCCAGACACACAAAGGAAGAGATACACCCAGACACTCAGATACACCCAGACTCACGGAGGAGACATATTCAGACCCTTGGGCACACCCAGAGACACTCCAAAAGAGAACATTAGACCATCAGATAAACCCAGACAATATGGGGAAAACACAACCAAACGGTACCAAACACCTGAACATACTTAGCAGGGAGAGAGACACACCAGAGAATCACTCAGATGGATACACATACACACAGGTGATACAGACAGTCCCTCTGGGACAATCAGACACACCCAGGAAGACAGAACCAAATGGACACGCCAATACACCTGCCTGGACCCACACAGATCCTTGGTCATGCCTGAGCAAGGGAAGAGAAACAGCCAGTGACTAATAGTACTGGACACATCTGAGAAGTGATAAAGCCAGACACTCATGGAGCAGCAGACATGGGCAGAAATACACCTAATACACCAAACAGACACTCAGGGACGAGATTCTCCCAGACATTCCAGAGCATCTGGTACTCAAAGGAAGAGAGACTCAGGAACAGATAAACCAGACACACTCAAGAGGAAATAAGCCTGGAAACACCTGAAAAGAGACACGAACACCCAGACACACTGTACTACAAATGGAAAAAGTTACAACCAGACGCTGACACACCCAGACACACTCAGACAGCCACAGGAAAAAGTACGCAGATACTCTGATACATCCCAACTCACAGGGGAAGAGATATACAAGGACGGGATACACCTGGACACACAAAACAGACACCACACACTGTCCAGGAATGCACCTGGCTCCGAAGAGAAGATGCAGTCCAAAACTCAGGGGAAACTGGAGAGTCTCTGCACTAACCACAGACACACCCCAGCAGACACAGCCAGTCACTCAGACATGGGCCAGGAGGTAAATAAAGGCAGATGCTCAGACACACAAGGGCATCAACACACTGATCAACGAGTGGTGTGGGCACCCACGGGGGCCACCCCGGCACAGGACGGACCCCACCTACCGATCTTATACTCGCAGGGCCGGAGTCTGGGGTCTTCCAGGATGTTGAGCCTCCGTTTCTTTCTCCAACAGCGGGCCGGGTACGTATAGATCTGTCCGGGGGCCAAACCTGGAGTAAGAAGGGCGGTAAGAACGCGGCAGGGAAGCCCGCGGCCCCGCCCCACCCCCGCCCTCCCTGCCGGTACCCGGGCCGCGGTGGGTCTTCTCCATCCAGATGTAGCAGTTGTTCTGGGCCACGCCGGTCTGCGAGTCGAGGAAGGGCAGGCGCAGGCTGCGCTCGGCGCACAGGCGCGCGTTGTAGCTGCGGCAGTGCTCGATGGCCTCGCGGTAGAAGTCCTCGCCTAGGCTGCGAGGGGTGGGTAAGCGGGCGGGCGGCTGTCAGCAAGGGCAGGCGCACCCGGTCGCCCAGCACCCCTCCCCCAGCCAACCCGTCGGGAATGGGTGGGCCGACTCTTCCAACCTCACCTCTCCCCTCTGGTGGGGACCCAGGAGCCCCCAACCCGGGACTCAAGCGGGCCTCGAGCCAAGGAGTGCATACAATATAGAAACAGATAAAGATACACCAGGACACATCCATTCAGGCACATATCCAAATCCACAACACAAATGTATCGCACATAGTCACACAGGATTCACACACAAAGAGAGACATATCCCAAGATTCACAAAGGGAGAAACAGACACATCTCACATATGGGCACACACAAATATCTTCTGAAAAACGCAGATCTCGCAAGTTCCATAGTGTAGAAACAGATCACACACGTGTCCATGCACAAATATACATCACATATCCAGAGACACACAACATAAACAATCACCCACACAAAGACATACAACATGTAAACAGATTACACACCACAGACACTCACACTCACTCATGCATCCAAAGACACACACACAGGTACACAAATGTTAAGAGAAAAAATGTTAAAACAAACTACCCATATAAGCACTTACACACATATCCAAATACACAACACAAATCACATATAATTCAAATACACTATACAAAGAAATCACACAGATTCACACAGGATACACACACACAGTCACAAAGATACACAATAATATAGAAACCAACATCTAAAATACCACATATTCAAATACACAAAGATACACATATATTCAATGTAGAAACAAATCCACCCATATTCACACAAAAATTTGCACATAAATACAGGAATACCTACATATCCAAAGACACAGAACACAAATGATGCACAGTTTCAAAGGACATGCACACACACTCAAAAGACTCAAATATCCAAAGATACCTAGAGTAGAATAAAAGAAATCAAATACACATCCACACACATATCCAAAAATAAAAAATAAAAAACACCAGAATCCGAACAAGTGACACACACTCCATATCCCAAGACAAAGGTACTGTGAGCTTCACTCAAGTTTACCAAGGTCCCCGCGCCCCTAGTCCATTTCACCCTCTCCCCAACCCCGGGGGTCTCAGGGCGGGACATGACCCCCTTTCCCGAAGAGGACTCGGAGTTCCGCACACTCTCCGCTCCTCCAGGAGCCGCGCGTCGGACACGGTTCTTGCCAGAGACCCACAGTCACACACACTCGCAACCCCGCTCAGCCCGGCCCACGGTGACAGCCCCCCAGACACCCCATCGGCCCCACCCCCAGCCGCCACACACACACACGCCCGCGCGATCCGCCCGCACGCCCTCCCCCACCTCCCGCCGGCCCGCAGCACCTCAGGGGGCCGGGGATGACCGTGGCCATCTTGCTCCCCGGGTCCTGCCCCCAGCAGGTCCCCGCCGGGCCGGTCCTCCCAGCGCTCGGGCGGGCGCTGAGGCCGCCCATCCATTCATTCCCGGGGGGCGGGAGCACCGGAGCCACAGCCAATCAGGGCGGCGGGGCGGGCCCTCCCGGGCCATGCTGGGAGTGGTAGTTCCCCGCCTGGGGCTGGCGGGACCCCACCGGGAAGCCGGTCAGAGGTGGGGCCCGAGGCACGCATAGCCGCTCACGCACGCTCACCCGTGCACACCTCGGAGTCTCGCACATGGGTCTACACTCACGCATGCACACCTGGGCTCGCACACACCCACACACGGCGGCTTACACACACATTCACACATATACTCACAGCCTCCCACGCAGACTCACGCACACTCCCTCTCCCACACCTTCGCACAGACTCGCATACATTTGCACTCACACAAACACTTGAGTGCCAGGAGACTTAGAGACACCGTACAGATGCCCACGCAAACGTCCCGCCAACGCATGGCTCCCTGACGCCGCCCCCTGCCCCCAGTCCCTCCTAGCTCTAGAGAACCCTCTCGGTCCCGGTCTCTGGTCTCCGTCGGGGCTGTCTCTCTCACAGGGACCACGCCCGACTCAACACCTTCCCAGGCCTGACAGCAGCCGTGCTAGTTAGTTGTGTACTGTAGCCACACTTCCTGGGTTCAAATCCTGACTCTGCCACTTGGTGGCCATGTGACCCTGGGCAAATAATCTTTCTGGGAATCAGTTTCCTCATCTGTAAAATAAGGATGATGCCTCCTTGGATTATTGTGAGGATTAAATGAGTAAGTATTGGGGTGTGCATGTGTTAAGCCGCTTCAGCGGTATCTGACTCTTTATGACCCCATGAACTGTAGCCCGCCAGGCTCCTCTGTCCATGGGATTCTCCAGGCAAGAATACTGGAGTGGGTTGCCATACCCTCCTCTGGGGAATCTTCCCAACCCAGGGATTGAACTCTTTATGTCTCCTGCGTTGGCAGGAGGGTTCTTTACCACTAGTGCCACCTGGGAAGCCCTTAGATATTGGTAAATTGCTTCAAAAGTCACCTGACAGTGACTTCACTGTTGGTCCAGTGGTTGAGACTCCGCACTCCCTCTGCAGGGGGCACAGGTTGGTTGGGGAACAAAGATCCCTTATTCCAGGCAGTTTAGCAAACAAGCAAACAAACAACAAACAAAACAAAAGGTACCTGACAGGTAGTAGGTGTTCAATAAATTCATTCATTCCACAAAGACGACCTGATGTGTACTGAGATGTGAAATGGTGATAGCTAACCATCATTAGAAAGAATAATGCTTGGCATATGTGTGCTAGTCACTCAGTCGTGTCCGACTCTTTGCAACCCACGAACTGTAGCCCACCAGGCTCCTCTGTCCATGGGATTCTCCAGGCAAGAATACTGGAGTGGGTTGCCATTTCTTCCTCCAGGGGATCTTCCCGACCCAGGGATCAAACCTGAGTCTCCTGAATTGCAGGCAGATTCTTTACCCTCTGAGCCACCAGGGAAGCTTGGCATATAATAGATGCTTACAAAATATTTGTGAAGAATAAATATACTGAGTAGCCACCAAGTGCAGGCACAGTTCTTTAACAGAGATTCACCTGTCTGGTCCTCATAATGACCCACCAGGGTGATATTATCATTACCCCCATTTTCCCGGAGGAAGTAGAGTCTCATGCCGTCAGCCCCTGGTGTTTGCTTGAAGGTGAGACTAAGAGAAGTATTCACTCACCCAGATGTCTGTACCACGTGGGTCACCCCCTGCTTTCTGCCACTGTCACCCACACTGACTCCACCCTAAGGGATGCCCAGAGAGGAAGCTGACCTATGGAGTCCCAGCACTTGCCAAGTCCCACTCACCCACACCAAACCCACACCCCCATCCAAAGTTCCTGTTCAGGTTTGAGCCCTTGCATGGATAAAAAGGCCCACAAATGTCCTTGTCTACCAGGGAGCTCTCCAGCAGACAGAAGAGGCCTTAAAGCCCTCACCTCTTTTGTCTCTTGATGCCCCCACCTACCTCCCTGATGAGAGAGGCCCCCTCCAGGTCTTCCACACCCATGGTCACTTCTACACACACACACACACACACACACACACACACACACACACACACACACACACACACACACACTTCCCTGGTTGTCCAGTGGTTTAGACTCCACAATCCCCAGTGCAGGGGTCATGAATTCAATCCCTGGTCAGGGAACTAAGATCCTCCAGGCAGCAAGGCATGACCCCAAAACAAAAAACAAAATACACACACACACACACCTCTAGTCTTAGACCCCTTCCACAGGCTCTCCCCCATCTGTCCCAGGTAAGGCCCTGACCTCCCTCTCCTCAAACCCCAAAAGCAGGGAGTGGGTCTCTGCTTCACATCTGGCCTAGAGCAGATGGCAAGGGGGTGAGGCACCTCACTGCGTCACACGTCACACAGTGCCACAGGGACACTGGCACCTCAGTCACTCTGGCCTCCAGGTCCCCTACAGTGGCCACCCCGATCTCATCCACAGTGAGCCCTGCCCCCTCAACCCAGCAGCTCAGCTATGAGAGCCCTTGCCACCTTCCTCTGTCACCTCCCACCAACCTCCAATACACCCTTACACTTGCTCCCCACACCTCTAGCCTCAGGCACCTGGCTCACCCCAGAACGTTGGCATCAGTTTTGCTCAGCTTGGAGCCTGAGTGCAGAACACTCCATCAGCTCCCTGGAGGCCCTTGTCCACTAGTGCAGTTTGACCCACAGCTGACACCTGGAGAGGGGTCTCTCTCCCCTTCCTTACCCCTAGTCACCCTCACAGACCGCTCAGCCGCAGTCAAGCTCCCCTGTCCAAACAGGGGAGCTCCCCATCCCCCCATGCCCTGTGTGGAAACGACCACAAGTGAAATCAACATCGATACTAAACAGTAAAGAATCTGCCTCCAATGCAAGAGACCTAGGTATGATCCCCAGGTCAGGAGGATCCCCTAGAGAAGGAAATGAAAACCCACTCCAGTATCTTTGCCAGGAGAATTCCGTGGGCAGAGGAACCTTGCAGGCACCAGTCCGTGGGGTCGCAAAAAGTCACTGACACTTTGACTACATTTAGTCAGAGTCAGGCTCAGTACCAAGTGCTTTACAAACATCAGACCAGCAGCCATGAGATAACAAGAACTGTAATGATGCCCCAATTCACAGACGGCAACACTGAGGCTCAAGGTTGGGGAGGTGGTTAGTGCTCAAGATAGGGTTCCAATGCAGGCAGTCAGAACCCTCCAGAACCCATTCCTAAGGGGACTGGATTCTCTCAGGAGCCAGCCCCTGCCCTCCCCTCACCTCCTGTAGATCCCTCAGAAGGTGAGTGCGAAGAGGGCTACTGTCCCACCCCCAAGCTTACTCAGGTCTTCAGCCCCTCCCCCCCCCAATGGCTGCCCCACACCTACTCCAAGAGGTCAGAGTGAGGAGGTCTGGATACCTATGATCCACCAACCTGCACGGGAGCCCTGTGCCAGCCAGTTTGAGGGTGTCCCTGATAGGGGTAACATGTCTGTGTTGAAGAACTAGAGCGAGAGGGAGGCAGAAACTGTCACCGTTACACACCGTCTCACGCCTACCCCAGCCCCACACACACCCTCCAAGCCGGCTTGGCTCTCCGCAAAGCCACACGTGTAGGCGCGAGCTTGCAAGGCCCGGCCGCTCCTGGCCCACCTGCCCCCACCATCAGAAACCTGAAGCTACTGGGGGCCTTAGGTCCGCCACCCCAGGCACAGCCTTTCCGAAGGGAGGGCGGGGGGCGCCCCGAGCCCCTCCCCCACCCCAACCCCCAGCACCCGTAGCTCAAGGTCAAGGTGGCGGAGGCGAGGGGCTGCGGGGAGGGTGCGGGAGGTCGCCCCGGCCCCTTTGTGCGGCGCCGCGGGCGTTCGCCCTCCGCCTCCTCCCCGCCAGGCCGGGGAGCGGGGGAGGGGAGGGCCGCGCGCGCCAGCCGGGGAGGGAGAGCCGGAGCGGCCGCGCGCCTGTCACTCCCAGCCCGCTGTCAACGCCTGGGGAAGGGGGCGGGGAGCACTGGGACCCAGGAGTTCGGGATCCCGAGGAAGGAGCGAGAGAGACAGAAAGAGAGGGAAGAAGTGGAGAGAGCGAGGGCTGGCCAGGAGAGGAGAGGGCTGGGAGAGAGCTTAGGCTGGAACCCAGGTGTCCAGGATGCCAGCCGCGGGGCCCGGGAGGAAGCGAAGCTCGGAGGAGGCACGAGGACAGGGAGAAACGGAGGGAATCCCCGGAGACTGAGGGCGCTCCCAGCACCCTCTTCCGAGGCATCCGCTCCCCAAGGAGATAGGAGATGCTATCATTACATGTGTACGGGCAGGGAGAGGCAGGGAGTCCACGGTCTAAACTGACCGGAGCGTCGGGGCTTTAGGTCCTGAAGACCCGGGAAGAAAAAAAAGGGGGGGCAGACAGCAGGGATCGAATCGGGGACCCCCGACGTCTCAGCTCCCACCCTGAGGCCGCGCAGGCAGAGGTCCCCGGAGAAAGAGAGAGGAAAGAGAGAAAGATGCTTTTGAGGAGGTAGAGACCTGGGAGACTAGGGTCCGGACTTGGGCATTCGTACTCCCAGCCCCAGACAGGGGCAGACCCGGCGCCCCCAGAGACTCGGAGGAGGAGAAGAAAGCCCCTACCCCCACTCTGGGTGGGGAAACGGCCTCCGCCACCCCCAGCCCGCGCCACATTCCTTCACTGACAGCGACAAAGAAGAGGCGCCCCCGCGACCCTGGAGTGGCTCCTGCCCCCAGCCCCAGGGGGTAGACAGGGGGTGGCGCCCCCCCCCCGGGGGGGGGACAGGGGGACAGGCTGGGGGCCCCATTCAACTACCATCCGCCCACTGCGTCCCCCTACCCAGCGAGGGCGGGGGCAGGGTTCGGGTAGGGGGCGGGATGGAGGGACGTGGACGGCGGGGACACTCACGACTTGAGCGGGTTCTGAATGGCGGTGGCCATGGCCCGCTCGGCTGGGCCGCCTCCGGCCCGGGGCGCCGCTGCCGCCGCGCGCGGGCCCAGCCCGGCCTGCGCCGCCCGCTCTGCCGCCCAGCGCGCTACGATTTCATTCATTCTTGGGGCTGCAGCGCGAGCGGAGCGGGGCGGGCCGGGGGCGGGGCTCGGCCAATCCCCGCACCTCCCGGCGCACGACGGGACGTGGAGTCTAGGGGCGCGCGGCGGCGCCCAAGGGCGCCCCTGTCCGGACTACACGTCCCAGGGGGCGTCGGGAGGACCGTGTGCCCATTGGCTACTGAGGATACAGGGCGGGGCTGGGCTCGCCCCAGAGCATCCTTTCCCCTCCCTGGAGTGCTCCCTTCCCAGTTTAGGCTCTCCAACCTCCAAGAACCACGGGCGCGCGGGAATGGGTGGTCGCTGATTTCTGGGTCTCCCCTGGGTATGTGGATGACCCCAGGGTCTGTCGTGTATTGTCTTTGCCTACTTCTCTGGTGTCTCTTCTTTTGTAAGCCAGTCTATAAGCTAGCACAGGGATTAATCAATGTCTTTGTTCGTTTATTAAGTGCCAGGCACTCTTCTAGGCACTGGGGAGACAGCATGAACAACAGACAGAATTGCTGCTCTCAAGGAGCTGAGCTGTGAGTGGAGAAAAACAGATGATAAACAAGCAAACAAGCTGTTAATTTTACAGAGTGATAAGTGCTGTAAAGAAAGTGGCTTCTCTGAGGAGGTGACGTTTGAGCTGAGATCTGAGAAGCTGCCATCGTGCAATACATAGAAGCAGGAAAAGCTTGGCAAGTTCAAAGATTAGTGTGGAAAGCTAGTGAAAAAGAGTCGAGTGAGTGAGGGGGGAGACAAGGTTAGCGAGAGAGCAAGGAATCAGATCATGTAGGGCCTTGTAGGCCATTATAAAGAAAATGGATTTTTGTTCCAAGTGCAATCAATCATCCTTGACTCTTCTTTTTTTCACACACACCTCAAGTCCATCATCAAATCCTGTTATCTCTACATTCACAAAATAGATCCAGGATCTACCCACCCTTCCCCCTTCACAGCTTCCATCCTGGGACTCCCTCTTCCTATCATCTCCCCCCTGGACAATCCCTGCCTCATCTCTCCAGGGTAGCCAGAGTGAACTGCCTAAAACAGCCGGCATCACCACGCTCTCTGGCTCAAAACTTCCAATGACTTCTTTCACACTTGGAATACAATTCTAAGTCCTCTCTATGCCCTCAGGGCCCTACTCAAGCAGGTCCCCAACCTCCATCTCATTTCCTCTATTTATTTATTTATTTAGGCTGTGTGGATCTTAGTTGCGGCTCCAGGATCTTCATTGTGTGGCTTGCAAACTCTTAGTTGTGGCGTGCATGCTGGATGTAGTTCCCCAGCTAGGATGGAACCTGGCCCCCTTGCATTAGGAGAACAGAGTCTAACCCTCTGGACCGCCAGGGAAATCTCCTCACTCCCCCCACCACCCCAGTTACATTTCTGATCTCATCTCCCTTCTTCTTTTCCTTGACTAGCTTTGCCGACTCATTGGAAAAGACCCTGATGCTGGGAAAGATTGAAGGCAGGAGGAGAAGGGGATGACATGCTTAGATGGTTGGATGGCATCACCAACTCGATGGACATGAGTTTGAGTAATCTCTGGGAGTTGGTGATGGACAGGGAAGCCTGGTTTTCTGCAGTCCATGGGCTCACAAAGAGTTGGACACGACTAAGCAACTGAACTAACTAATTTTGCTCCAGCCACACTGGCCTCCTCCTTATTCCTGGAACATTCTGGCCCCACTTCAGCCACAGGACCTTTGCTGTTCTCACTGCCTAGAATGCTCCTCCCCCGGGCATCTTCATGGTTCCAACCCTGACTTTATTCAGGTTTCTGAATTAATGTCACTTCCTCAGAGACAACCTCAGCTAAAATGGCATCCCTGAGAAACTCTATGTCCTCTTAAAAGCTTTTTTTTTTAATCCCCCTGGGATTTCCCTGGTGGTCCAGTGGCTAAAACTCCACTCTCCCAATGTAGGGAGTCTGGGTTCAATCCCTGGTCAGGGAACTAGATCCTGTATGCCAATCTTTGCCATATGGAAAAGACCTTGATGCTGGGAAAGATTGGGGGCAGGAGGAGAAGGGGACGACAGAGAATGAGATGGTTGGATGGCGTCACCGACTTGATGGGATGAGTTTCAGCAAACTCAGGGAGATGGTGAAGGACAGGGAAGCCTGGCGTGCTGCAGTCCATGGGGTCACAGAGAGTAGGACACGACTGAGCGACTGAGCAACAAAATGCTGGTCCTGTGCCGCTGCAACTAAGATCTGGTACAGCCACATAGATTAATGCTTTTTTTAAAAAAAGCTTTCTTTTTCTCCCAACACTTACAGTAATCCATCCTCATGCTATAGACCTATTTACTTACTTGATTTATTACCTTCGCCACCCCTTTGAATACCAGCTCTATGAGGCAGAGATTGTTATTTAATCCACTGCTCTCTCCCCAGTACCTAAAACAGGGCCTGAAAGATAGCAGGTGCTCAACAATTAATTGTTGAATAAATAAATGAATCAATTAGTCATTATACTCCATGTCTCTCCCCACTGTCTGGCTCTGTGGAGCGCAACCAGCAAGGAGAGAGAGTCAGGCAGGCTCCAGGCTGTGTCCTCCCACACACATAGACACTTAGACAATCTGAAGGGGACCAGGGTGGTGGCCAGAGTAGCAGTGGGGGGGGGGAAGTTGTTGAATTAAGACAACTTTCCCAGCAGAGGGTCTGGAGCTAAAGCTTTAAGGCAAAAAGAAAGGAGAGGTTTGTTTCTACAGTATCATGTTTGTTTCTACAGTATCATGTTTGTTTCTACAGTATCATGCTCTGTGTGGGCATGCAATGATGTATTTGCACTACTTATTTATGTATTGGCTGCACTGAATCTTCATTGCTGCATGCGGGTTTGTCTCCAGTTGTGGCCAGTGAGGGCTACTCTCTGGTTTCGGAGTATGGGCTCTAGAGCAGAGGCTCGCTAGTTGTGGCACACAGGGTTCGTTGCTCCGTGGCTTGTGGGATCTTCCCGGACTGGGGATCGAACCCATGTCCCCTGCATTGGCAGGCAGATTCTCAACCACTGGACCACCAGGGAAGGCCCGGCAATGAAATGTTTGATGGCTCTGCCCAAGGCTCTGCCTTAAGTTTGCAGTCCTGTGGGGTAACAGACCCCTCACTATACAATGGGTGGGGGAAGCCCAGGCAGAGGGGTCAGGAGATACACTGGCTGGGGGAGCCCAGAGGAGTTTCCTGACCCAGTCTAGGGGCCAGGGAGGGCTTCTTGGAGGAAGTTTCAGGGAAATCTTTTTTAAGTGTTGACCCTCTGATCTCTCTAGACACAAGGTAAGTCCCTGTCCTGACCTCTTGTGTCCCTAATGCCTGATCTTCCCGTCACTCAAGTCTTGGTAACAAGCAATTTAATCACTTCTTTAATCATTTCTCCCAACCTGGAACCCAGAGATTTGACCACCAGAGGGCACTGTGGCTCCAGTTTTTGTCTTGGTGGGCTGTCCAGGAATCCTCAGATCCAGCAGGGACATTGTGCAGGGCAGTGGGTCCAACCAGTGGACACATTGGTCCCCCCCGACTCTGAGCCTCAGACCCTGCCCACAACCTGGTCATCAAGGTCTGAGCCCCTCCCTGCAATAACTCCTGTGGAATCGATGTGTGTGTGCGCGGTAAGTCACTTCAGTCGTGGCCGACTCTTTGCAACGCTATAGACCATAGCTGGCCAGGCTCCTCTGTTCATGCGATTCTCCAGGCAAGAATACTGCAGTGGGCTGCCATGACCTCCTCCAGGGGGTCTTCCTGACCCAGGGATTGAATCCACATCTCTTGTCTCCTGCATTGGCATGCAGGTTCTTTACCACTAGCGCCACCTGGGAATCAGTAGGAGTCCCTCTGTCCCAGGCCCCTGGGAGCCCAGCTTGGGCCTCTGAGGGAGACAGTTGCTTAGCCTCCCTGATCCCTCTCTTCCCCACTATTCTTCAGAGGGTACAGCCCTCCCCTAAACTGCCCTTGGGATGTTCAGACATGACCCTCAGAAGTCTCCTGCCCAGATGGGGATACTGAGGTATACAGGAGGTGTGGCTGGTGGGGGGTGGGGGGAGGGTGTCACACAATACCAAGACAAAAACAATAACAATTAATAATAATAACCACAATACAGGACTTCCCTGGTGGCTAAGTGGATAAGAATCCACCCACAAATGCCGGGGACACGGGTTCCATCCCTGGTCCAGGAAGATTCCACGTGCCACGGAGCAGCTAAGCTAGTGAACCACAACTTACCGAAGCCCACGGGCCCTAGAGCCTGTGCTCCGCAACAAGAGAAACCACCACAATGAGAGGCCCTCACAGTGCAACCAGAGAAAGCCCACGGGCAACAATGAAGATCCAGCGCACCCAATAAACAAGGAGAAAACAATATGTAACGCCCCACTATTTAGCACCTCCTGTTTATCAAGACCTGTCCTGAGCCTTTTACAGGTCACATGTTGCTGCCATACAGACCACACTTTGGAAGCGGGATTCTTCACCTCAGAGTCAGACCAGACAATCTGGGCTCAGAGAGACAACACCCTTATCAAAAGACCCCACTCATCATGGCAGGAAGATCTGGGACTTTTTAAATTAGTTTTTATTGGAATATAGTTGCTTTACACTATGCTAGTTTCTACTGTACAACAAGATGAGTCAGCTATATGTATACCTTTAACCCCTCTTCGTTTGGGTTTCCTTCCCATGTAGGTAGAGTTCCCTGTGCTATATAGGTTCCCATTAGTTATCTATTTCATATATAGTAGCAAATATAAGCCAATCCCAATTTCCCAATTCATTTCACCCTCCTTTTCCCCCCTCGGTGTCCATATGTCCATTCTCTATATCTGTGTCTGTATTTCTGTTTTGCAAGTAAGATCATCTATATCATTTTTCTTGATTCCACATATATGTGTTAATGTACAGT